AGCGATGATACTCGTTTGGCCATATCTACAAGTTGTTGAGAAATGAATTACACTAAGTAGTTATATTATTTTAATCATACAAATTACCAAAGTCATAAAAATAGAAATATGAGGGCATTTTGATTGGATGTAATTATTAATTAATGTAATTTATTAGCTTATCCCCTTATTATCACTTAAACTGCTTCGTGAAATTTCATAATCTCAAATTATTTCCAATAAACATTTGCGGATCTATAAAGCAAAGATACAAAGTCAGTTCGTTTCACCACTATTTCCGTTACTATCGGCAAAAAAGTAAACAAAATATTTAGGCCTACATTATAATAATGCATTTGAAAACCATGAAAAAAACATAGGTTAGGGGCAATCCCATTTTCCTAAACCACAAGTAACCATTTTAACGCTAGGTGCCTACTCATCATTAGACTTGTTCGACCAACGCTTCTAAAATATGTCAGGCTTATTACAATTAATTGTTAATTTACTCATAAGGTTGTTGATAGCTATGAAGGTGTTATTTATTTTATTGCTTTGGTACTTATTTATTTACACTAATGTACCTCTCTTAACCTGAAACGCTAGCTTAATGTCTTAACTGCACTGAAAGGCGAGACTTTTCAATTTTACTGAAATTGAGCCAGTAAGGTTGAACTACAATATGCAACTCTATTTAAGGGTTTGAAATCTTGCATTAATCATGGTTCTTTCAGATCATTCAAAACCTCATTGCCTTACATCCATATATAAATTCCAAAGTACCCATGAACTTTTGAGAAAACTACAAGTCACACACCTATAAAACATATACTTAAAATGTTCGTCATGGCGAGAAACCTTACTGGCAAAACTATCCATTATTTCATAAATTGCCTTTTAAGGTCGTAGTTCCTTTCTAAAGGGACTTTTCCGTATACCTAATGTTGAAAGTGCTGTACTTATCAGATATACTTATTTATTTGCTATTTTTTTCAATTTATTACCCTATTAAAATCAGGTGTGATTATTTGTTTGTATTACTGTATTAGCGAATTTCCCATATGGGGAATCTATATAATTAATACGCTACATGAAACTTTGTCGGTTGAACTCCTCCGCCATTTCTTAACCGATTTTATCCATTGACGTCTCATTGGAAAGATCGTGTCGCGTAGATTTGCAAACTGGCCTTACTTTTTTGAAAAAGTCCCCTGGGCTCTGCCCCAGTGGCTTTGAAAGTTCCCATGTTATCCTTATGAAAAACATAATTGATTACATTTTGATCAGCTGTATAATTTAATTGCTGTTATTTATTATTCAATTCAATGAAACGCATTGAGTACATTTATTTACTATTTGAGTTTGTGTAAACATAACCTCCAAGACGGATCGTGTTAGTATGGTTGTATCTTAAATTTGTGTATTTATCGTTGTTTTGTGTCGCTATGACGGATCGTGTTAGCATGATGGTAACTTAAATTTGTGCATTTATCTTTTGTAAATTTATATTTTGTGTAGGAATAATTTGTTTATTTGTTGTTTTTTTCTTTTAAATGCCTCCGACGCGACTACAACGAAACATATACAGGAGGCGTAATCGTGATAACGACCGCAGCTACAGAACAGGGGCGCGTAATAGACTTAACTCATCACAGTCAGCACCTGACCCTGGACAATCTCAACTATTAGGCTACAAATGCGCCCTAACACTATCCCAAAACGACTTTTCGTTGTCAATTGGCCCTCTATCAATGACCTGTGTTGCCTGTACAGCGAGGCATTTTGAGAAGGAGAAAACCGGACGGATTGCTTTAGGTTTATCAATAACTAAGATAAACATGGTCTGAGTTATACACCGGTAATTTTTGAGTTGACTCTTTTAAACTCATTGTAAATATGACTGTTATTCGTTTTGAAATAACTTCTGTAATACTTAGCAATTGCTCGAATTCGAGCAACATGTACACTAGTCTATATAATTAATACGCTACATGAAACTTTGTCGGTTGAACTCCTCCGCCATTTCTTAACCGATTTTATCCATTGATGTCTCATTGGAAAGAGCGTGTCGCGTAGATTTGCAAACTGGCCTTACATTTTTGAAAAAGTCCCTTGGGTTCTGCCCCAGTGGCTTTGAAAATTCCCATGTTATCCTTATGAAGAACATAATTGTTTACATTTTGATCAGCTGTATAATTTAATTGCTGTTATTTATTTTTCAATTCAATGAAACGCATTGAGTACATTTGTTTACTATTTGAGTTTGTGTAAACATAACCCCCAAGACCATCGATATCTATAATAGAGATCAATGCCCAAGACGGATCGTGTTAGCATGGTTTTATCTTAAATTTGTGTATTTATGGTTGTTATGTGTCGCTATGGCGGATCGTGTTAGCACGATTCTAATTTAGATTTGTGCATTTATCGTTGTTTTGTGTACCTATAATTTGTTTATTTGTTGTTTTTTTTCTTTTAAACGCCTCCGACGTGACGAAAACGAAACATAGACAGGAGGCGTAATTGTGAAAACGACAGCAGCTACAGAACAGTGGCGCGTATCAGGCTTAGTCAGCACCTGACCCTGGACAATCTCAACTATTGGGTTACAAATGCGCCCAAACACTATAATAACACTATACTACCCCAAAACGACTTTTCGTTCTCAATTGGCCCTCTATCAATGACCTGTGTTGCCAGTACAGCGAGGCATTTAGAGAAGGAGAAAACCGGCCGGAATGTTTTAGGTTTATCAATAACGAAGATAAAAATGGTCTGACTCTTTAACGAAGATAAAATTCTTTGAGTTGACTCTTTTAAACTCATTGTAAATATGACTGTTATTCGTTTTGAAATAACTCCTGTAAAATACATTGCAATTGCTCGAGTTCGAGCAACATGTACGCTAGTAAGCTATTACTGTAGGTCACATGGTAAGACCTAGACACGGGACCGATTTACTTTTTCCCCAGAGGTCCCCAGAGGCAAAAACTCCTTCCGTTAAAATTCATATATATATATATATATATATATATATATTTGTATATGTGTCTGTTAGCGCGATAACTCGAGCAAAAATGATTCGATTTTGATTGTATTTTAACTGACACAAGTTTTTATTTGATTTATTTTTATTTTTAATATCACATGAAGAGTGATAAATCATCAAGAGGATAATGAAGATTAAATGATAAATCTGTTATTCTATTCCCAATTTCCCCTAGCTGTGAGGCCCTCTACAAATCCTGGACCAAATCTGCTCTGTCTTAGCATCTCTTCGCCTTCAGCTTCTACATCTATCATTTAATGATTGGAAATGAGGTATTCCCACCATCTTTTGTTATATTGCTATTTTATGGTTTTTATTTCATATGTACAAAAATGCAGTTTGAGATAGACGAATGTCATTAATAGAACAGATCCAGCAAGTTATTCTGTAGGCTAGTGTTTAATATTAATTTTTTCAACTATTTAGATGGTGAATTTTGTTAAATACATTAGGTAATCTACGAGTTCATAATATATGTTACAATAGCCAGGCGCCCATCGGGCAACCCAGAGGGTGACATGACGTGGCGCGACACCGTGGAAAAAAGTTGCCACGTATCCGTGCCATGTTATCTTATGGATTGACCCAGCGGGTGGCGCGACGCGGGTTGCCCGGTGTTGTAAGTCTTTAGGCAAACATATATGATAATGGTATCATATATTATGAACTCGTATATTACCTACTGTATATAACACAATTCACAATCTAAAAAGTTGAAATAAATTAATATAAAACACTAGCCTACAAGAAAAACAATAGCAGAAATGTAGTATAAAGCTTCGCTCGCTCCACTCAATAAAACGAACAGTACAATTTTTCACTCCATGATCAATGGTAGGTGTGTCCTAACTTACATTCAATATTACACCGGATCGGATATGACATTTAATCATCTTGTGTCGTGTCCAAGAAGAATATCCAACGGGAATTTTTTAATGCGACAAAATGCAGAGAATATGATAACACGTACAATGCAATGGTAAATAAAGGGTTGTCAATTTGTATTAACTCCCTATGTTCGGGGTTGGGGTAAACATGAATAGCATGATTAATTCATTCATTCTCTACTGGCGATAGATCACGCAGCTTTCAATGCAGTTTGATATTGTATTATTTTCCGTCAGTCCAACAACAGTTGTTTCATTAAAGTTATATCTGAATGTTCATTTAAGATGTTAGAGTCTGTATTCTTGTTCTGTCTATTCTTGTTCAAAATAGAATACTGTTTTAGTCCTGTGATTTTTTATTTGATTCGTCCGTTACGTACATTATTCTCAATTTTCGCCCCACACTGGTGAAAATCAATTAGTTTAACTTCACTACTATTTTTCTGCTTTAATGGTGTTGTAACGAAAATAATATGTGGAACGCAAATACAACCGAAAACAGACTTTACTCTCTGGAGGTAAGTGTCAGGAACATCCAAGAATTTATCAGAAGGATACAGTTGGCAGGCTTTGAAAATAAACACATATTCTTAACGAGACATGGCGAAGACTTCACCTTTAGAAGAGTGTACGATAGAAATATTAGATTAAGAGATGTGGGTGATGTTGGTTTTGTACCTGAAACCACTCCGACCACTAAAATATTTTCGAAAACGCAAACAAAAAGCAGCTCATTGATTTTGTCTTTATCATATTACATCAGGAAATTCAAACAAAACGTGACGTACAACGTTTTATGGGCCCTGGTGCATGTGCTTGCAGTCATCGCCAGCTTTTACTATATAAAGACTGCTCTAGACAGTTGGCAATCTTCTCCAGTGGTACAAGCTACTTCTAACACCCAGGTCCATGTTAACAATTTTACATTTCCTGCGGTTACAATTTGTTGGCCTTTCTACTTCAATCGCGAATATGATTTTCAAAAAAATGTCGAAAACTGCCTCGATTGTAAAAACCACGTTTGTACCCTCAAAAACGAGACATGCGACGCCACAGAAATGAGGAGACTTGTTTTGGCTTACCAAATGTGTCGTAAATATGGTCACCGCAATCATGTACCATCAAACTTTTGGAGTGAAAAACACGTACAAAGTAATTTTGACGATAAAGAGTTCAACAATTACATGTCGGAACTTGTACCTTCGTGCGAATCAGAGTCTTTGATCACTCGATTGGTAGTGAGATCGGAGCCCACCGTTCAACGATCGAGATGTGATAGCAATGCGTTTCAGCAGTTTTATTCGCCTCAGAAAAGAATTTGTATTACGTTTAACAGTTTGCGACACAAAGACATATTCCAGGACAACGTAGCTACCACCATACCGATGGCTAATACGGTGAACAACAAAGCCCAACCTTGGACATTCGATAATATGATGGAATTCAACGGAAGTTTGAAATCTACTCCCTTATACGGTCTGCCCTTGTACGCGATTTTACTGGGTAACCAACAAACAGCCGACTCTGAAAACATTTGTGAATACGCGATCAACGAAATAGTTTCTATTACTATTCACAGTCCAAACGAAATACCTCTGAACAACGGTCTTGTCAGTGAAATACGAGTGTATAAAAACTTTACTGTTGACGTCTTGATAACGCCCAAGATAACCTTGGCAAGAGACTTGGAGCAGTACACCCCCCAACAAAGGGGCTGTTATTTCGTCCACGAGAAGAGACTATCGATGTTCAAATTTTACACGAAGAATAACTGTGATATCGAATGCTATATAAACTCCACTGTGAGTTCGTGCGGATGTGTCCCCATGTTGTACCCGAGACCGAACAAGACTGTGAAAGTGTGTGTGGCAAACTGTGAGCCGGCTGCACACAACTGTGGGTGTTTACCGGACTGCAATTCACTCAAGTACGAATATGTGACAAAGGATATACCGATAAATAAAGCGGTGTTACGGAACATCACCATACTGGGTGCCACTGAAATAGGATTCAAGGAGAACTACTTCTATACAAATGTCCGCTACAGCATCACAAGTGCCAAAGAGTTCCTGGCCTACACCCTCGGCGTGCTTGGGGCGTTCCTGGGGTTCAGTGTTACTTGTGTATGGAAACTCATGTACTCTGGTGTCGCTAGACTGTGTAAGTGTAACTATGCAAGAGCCCCAACTAGAAAGACGATAACTCCTTTACCAAGCTATTGATTTGAAATATGATCATGTTGGTAAATTATAAGCTGCATTGTACATAATCGCAGCACGGAGTCAAGAAAATTGACTGCGGAATGGAGTGAAGGTTAGCTACGTACAACACAATTACCATGAATAAACCCAAATAAAAGACACGTTAATCTGTATTTCCTCACCTTTTCCAAGCATGATACATGTGTGAAATGTCAATTGTCAATACGTTTATCCGATTACTCGTAACTGAGAGAAGTTAGCAGGTCGGACCTAGAGCCGGGGGTCGATTGTCTTTACGTCATGTTGATGTCCCCAGAGGCCAAAACACTATTCGCTCAAAAGTATATACAGGGTGGATCTTGTTAGGTGCCCACTATTGATATTAGACAAACCGTTAGTCCCACAATCATTACAATACATTTTTGTCCATTAAACCAATCCCAAGGAATAACTTTAACATAATATTTTTGACATTTTAAAATAAAGAATTACCTAAACCAGAGGTTGATTATTAAATCGTCAAATATAAACATAAGTCGTATTATACATAATTTTTAAAGCTCTTCTTAAAACTGTACAACCATTTTGTTGCAGGTTCGAATTTGACTATTTTTATTCTTTTAAAACTGACGTATCGCAAAAGATTTGTACTATTTAAAATGTCCTGTATATACTCTTTAATCTTGGGGTCTTATTTTTTAGTCTTAAAGTGTCATGTCATATACTTATACCTATACATAGGTAATTATAAGTATAAAATAAAATAATCGAGATTTAATCTTTTTTTATTTTATTCCTTGATTTTTAATGATAAACAATATCAACAAATCTTTTGGAAAATGTACTTAATAATTTTTAATTCAACAATGATAGTATATCTATTTTAGCAAATCCATAGCTTTTTATTTTTTTCTTTGATCTTTATATTCTTTTATGTTTTGCTCCAATAATTAAACTCATCAAGTATACCCATTTATTAGATTTTTTCATACATGTATGTACCTCAAAATGTATCATCGCTGTTTAGTTTAATACAGAAGTCCATTTCCAAGTATTTGAAAATCATTGGTAATAATTTGTAATATCCTCTGGGTAAACTGAAATATTAAAAACTAGCAGAGTACCCGTTCTTCGTATGGGGTTGGCGTATAGGTATAAAATGCGTAGGCCTATAGCAGTTATACTACTCATGCTTTGGGAGAGGATATGTTTTAAGAAGATTTGGCTTATGGTATATTATAATTTACGGTACACTATAGTATAGCACATCTGCCATAGCCATAATGTTCTACCACTGCACCTAAACAATAAAACAATGTGAATTTCTCATTTTTCACAGCTTTTTGTCGCTAGTTGGTTCAAATTAGCTAATTGAAACAGCTGGCAGAGTTCTTTAATTCTTTTTAAACACAAAAACTCATAAGGTTAACATGGAAAACTCTAGGGCCACTGGGGTGGAGCCCGAAAGAATTTTTGAGACAAGAATATGCCTATATATATGTTAATCGGAAATGTGAGCTATCATCATACCAAATTTCAACCCAATCCGACCAGTAGTTAATGCGTGATTGAACTTCAAACAAACAAACAAACAAACACACAAACTTTCACATTTATAATATTAGTAGGCCCTATGATGAGTGTTATTTTGTCTATTGTCGTGATCGTGGTTTTTAACTTGGCACGACAATGTGAAAACGCTAAAGTCTTACAATTGACTTGGTTTTGGGTTTACTTGAAACACGGATACGGGATACTGTAGGTAAAAAGTTGTCTTATAGTAACTAAACTAAAACTAAACTATTCCCTGATGAAAATGTTCAACACTCTTGAAATTACAATACCTTCTGCATTGGAAAATACAATCATAAATCTGGAAATATGGAGTTATGGGTTGTCTAACGTTCTAGCCTGCAGGTGAAGAGGAGATACGAAATTGTCAAGTATGTAGGGCGAGGGGCTAGGGGGGTATGCGATTTGGCGTGACCACTGTCCAGTGTCTCTGCTGCAAACAAAGCTTATAATGGCTGTCTCGAGGGCAGTAGTGTCGGTCGTACTGCTTTTGCGCTCTAATCCGGACCCCCCAAAAGGATTAGGAAGGGTCACTTAAACCCCGATCTCGTTTGCGCTTTCTTCGGGCCAGGTAGCCAACGTACGTGCCGGTATTCCCCGCTAGACAACTATTTGTAAACAAACCCTTACACACTGGATATATTTGTAAATAAGTCACCACTCGCCTTCGCCTACATTATTTTCTATCCTTCCGTGCATACTCAGATCAGCTGAAATATTTTTCAATACGGCACTCGCCTGTGCCTGCATTCTTTTTTACCCTCCAGAAAAGATTTGGCTAGCAGAAAAGATTATCCAGTTAGGAGAGCGAAAAATTGGGGAAATGGGCTTTGTAAAATGTGTGGGGTACAGGGCGTGTGTAGAAAAATAAAGTTATAAATATAGGGTTAAGTATTATGGGTGACCGTTAAGTCTTAGGACGACTTTATAACTTTTAAACGACAAACGATATCACAACCACATTTGGTATACCGTTACTGGAAATTGTAAGCTACTTTTCTGTGTACATGGTGGTCGGATATCACCTTTGGGGGACGGCCCGTCAGGGGTCAGAAGAAAATCTTTAATGACAGCCTATGTTGAGTTGTACATCATTTTAAAGGTCTACTTCAACTAAAAACAATGCCGCAAACCGCACTTCAAAAGGCTGATCCTGCGCAAAATGGCAGATGTTCAAAGATTTTCAAAATTAGCCAATTTCTTTAAATTAAAACACTTTTTAAAAAAAAAATTAATTTAATTAATTAATAAAAAAAAAGTAATTGGAATTTTTAAAGAACTAATTTAAAAGAATTATTAAAAGAATTTTTTTTATAAATCTTTAAACAACTGTCATTTTTAAACGGATGGTCCTTTTGAAGTACGGTTTGCGGCATTATTCTTTGCTCAGTGATCCAAATAACTCTTCAGGGTGACGGCCCACAAGGAGTCGGAAGTAAATCTTGAATGGAAGCATAGATTGATATGAACATCAAATTAAAGGTATTTATTAGTAGAATACAATGCCGCAAACCGTACTTCAAAAGGACCATCCGTTAAAAAATGACAGTTGTTTAAAGATTTTAAAAAGTGTTTTAAAGAAATTGGCTAATTTTGAAAATCTTTGAACATCTGCCATTTTGCGCAGGATCAACCTTTTGAAGTGCGGTTTGCGGCATTGTTTTCAGTTGAAGTAGACCTTTAAAATGATTTACAACTCAACACAGGCTGTAATTAAAGATTTTCTTCTGACCCCCGACGGGCCGTCCCCCAAAGGTGATATCCGACCACCATGTACACAGAAAAGTAGCTTACAATTTTCAGTAACAGTATACCAAATGTGGTTATGTGGTTGTGATATCGTTTGTCGTTTAAAAGTTATAAAGTCGTCATAAGACTTAACGGTCACCCTGTATATATATAATACTTAACCTGAAATACTGAAATATTTCAATACTGAATATTTCTTGTAGCCTATTGTTTGTTGTTTGTAATGTAAATAGTTAAATCAATAACAAGCATAATATTTAAATTACTATATATAACATACTCTTTTCAGGTTGATTTTTGTATAAATATGTTTATAAATATGGGACTGGTAAAATATACTAAGTTAACAGTATAATGTGTAATGTGTTAATAAGCCCATGATAGAATACAAAGAGTACAGCCAAAGAAAATACTGGGCTAGTACTTAATTTTAATATAGGATTTTAATATAGTTCACAATCGAGTATGATATTCAATAAGAAAGCAAATCATAACTTTGACCCATTCGACTCTGCATGTTTAAGTGTCTCAAATTACTTATACGTTATTCCTTCATACGATAGAGCAGGAATTACAATACGCATAAGGTATATTTTTTACAAAAGATGCCGCCAAAAAAGCGCAAACGAGATTTGCCTGATGGGGTACCTGTGGGCCCGTCTGGGCTTGAAGCGCAAACGAGATCAACTTTCTACCTGACAGAGGCTTAGGGCGCAAACGAGGTCCGCCCGTAGTGTCACTACGCTGAACTAGTACAATAGATTAAAGGTGTCTACTCCTCAATGCTAGTACTGCACAGAATTTTGTCATACTTAAATTTCACTTATAAAAGTGCCACTTTGCTCAAATAAGTGCTTAGTACCCGGGGACCGAGCTTTGCTAAGGGGAAGTCATTAATATACTCTAGTATTTTTTTGTCAATGTCATTATCAACCTATTTGTTTCCAATCTATTTAAAATCTGTTAAAATGGTAATATCGTAGCTGACTTAGTTTGTGTAGCAACATTCATGATTCTTATACACTGTTTTACGTTTAGATGTTATTTTTTAAACCAACACTCCAAATAATCCAAATATTAAACTAATATCTAATAACATACTACTTGATAATTACAATATTTTTAACAGGCCATAAGACTCTGTTGGAACTTATTCTTAAAGCAATGGTAAAGCCTTTTTTTAGTTGTAAAGGTTTAGTTTGTAAAATTAGAATTATGAAGGTCAGTGCCGCTTTAATAAGTGAGCTAGAGATTTTAGGTTTGTTGGAGGCTCAAGGAAAAGAAAAATTCCCCCACAAGGTAGGTGAAGAGGGGCACAATTAACTGCCGGGCCCATAGTGCATCACATGCAAACCGCAAGCTTGATGAAGGTAACTAACATAATTGTCACCATACATACAACACCTCGGTATCTAGAATTTCTTTTATTATTACAATGGTTTAGCGAACTGATAATCAAACCCAATATACACGGATCAAATCTCGCTAATAAATTTTTCCTAGACAATTTTTAAAACTTTTGTTAGAATTAGAGGCATCTTCCATTGCGATCAAAATTCAGTTTGTAGATTTAAATTAGTTTTTATTAATTTCCAGGCAACGAATGCAAAATAGTATACAGGAAAATGTTTGGAACACAATTTGTGACTTCGTAATTTGTTTAGTAGGCCTATAGTTAGGTAGGAGCTAGATAAACATAC